GCAGGTTGAAATGGTGAATATGATCACTCAGTAAAATACCAACACACTCTCCTCTACAGCACACATGATCTGAGGAATCATTCATGTCTGGTGCACAAACGCTGCAGGGATTTGTTCAAATCACTAACTCTTGAGCGTGAGTAAATGTAATAGTGACATTACTAACAATGGTCAAGCAGAAACCCAGTTATGAATCAGAAATTCTTCTTTACCCCTGCAATATCTTTTACAGGCGTTCTACTAACTCTTAGTAACTTTGCAAGTACTATACATGTCAACTAGCAGTCATTAGAGTGCTTAAAGGGTTAGTTCACCCAAATATGAAAATGTTGTCATTAATTACTCACCCTCATGTTGTTCCAAACCCATAAGGCCTTTGTTTATCTTCGGAACACAAATTAAGATATTTTTGATGAAATCCGAGAGATTTCTGATCCTCCATAGACAGCAAGGGTCCTACCACGATCAAGGCACAGAAATGTAGAAAGGACATCGTTACAATAGTTCATGTGACATCAGTGATTCAACTGTAATTTTATGAAGCTACGAGAATACTTTTTCTGCGCAAAGCAAACAAAAATAACAACTTCATTCAACAATTTCTTCTCTTCCATGTCAGTCTTCACCGTGCGTTCACAACCCATGCGTGTGATGCTGCTGACACAGGAGCCGGCATTCTCTTAGTTCATCGTGAATACTAGAAAGTATTCTAGTAGCTTCATAAGATTAAGGTTAAACCACTGATGTCACATGAACTATTGAACGATGCTTTGATCATGGTAGTATCCTTGCTGTCTATGGAGGGTCAGAGAGCTCTCGGATTTCATCAAAAATATCTGTATTTGTGTTCTGAAGATGGACGAAGGGCTTACGGATTTGGAGCGACATGAGGGCGAGTAATTAATGACAGAATTTTCATTTTTGTGTGAACTGTCTATTTTAATATCTGATAACACTTCATTTTGAAGGACAATAGCAGACAGTCTACTGACTACTTTGCAAGTAACTTTACAGGCACATGTCAACTTATTCTACTAAACCTAAGCCTATCCTAACAGTCAGCTAATACTCTAATGAGAGTTAGTTGACATGTACTTGCAACGTTTTTTAAAGTTTTATAGTATAGCATGGCTACTATCAAAATAAGTAACCAATTATTTCATCAATGAAAAATATGAGCTAAATGTGATTAAAGCCGTTATGTGTTTAAATGTTATTGCTGAAGACACATCTGTTGTTTGTTTCTGAATGTGTCCTTTCATACCTTCTGCATCTCTGGTGGGGCGTTTCTGGCCGTGCTGTACTCTTGGATGAGCGAGCGCACGTGACAGTGGACCCTGCCTGCTGTGCTGTGGACCCGCTGCCAGCGGCCCTTCTCCAGCCGCTGGAACATCTTCCCCAGCTCCGTGCTGACCACCAGCGCCCTCTTCAGCAGCGTCTGCAGATTATCACGAGTGACGTGCTCACTGACAGCACCTGTCCCGCACATGATGAGCTCACCTGGAGCGTCTTCATCCACGCAGATGGGTTTAGACTGCAGAACGCACATGCACTCCACCTCCGTCATGTGCCGCAAGTCTTCCATCCAGCGCTGTACCGAGTCCACCTGTATGGCATGCATCCTGCTGCATGGACATACACAACAATGTCAGGTCATCAACAAACATTTCTGTACATACATGAGCCTTTGGAGCCAGTAGGGCTCATAATTAATGATTGAAGCCTCATGACCGATGTCTCGAACCGTGCTCAGATTTGTCAAGATACCATAGTATCTCAGTCAAAAGTTACGGTAACACTTTATTTCGATAGTCCACTTTAGACATTGTACTAACAGTAAGTAAATTTGCCACTACATGTAAACTAGCAGTCATTAAAGTATTAGTAGACTGTCTGCTTAATATCTTCTAACACTTTATTTTGATGGGTCCACAACATACAACATACTGACCGTAAGAATCTTTGGAAGTATATGTCAACTAACCCTAAACCTAACCTAACAGTCTACTCTGAGAGTTAGTAGACATATAGTTGCAAATTAATGAGAATTGGTTCACATGTACTGTAGTTGCAAAGTTACTTAGTTAGTAGAATGTCTAAAGTGGACTATCGAAATAAAGTGTAACCTAACCTACAGGTGGGAGGGACCCTAGCGAGCCTTTGGGGATACATGTTGCCTGTGGCAACACTTCTGCAGAATTACCACACTTTCAAAGTGAAATGGCCAGTGAGTTTTACCTAAAATAGATGAACATGAATTTGGCAATGTTTTATTATGTCAGTTGTTGTACATGCCGTGGCAGGTTGTAAATGTTTATGATTTATCATACGTAGCACCTACACTAAACCTAACTGATACTGTTAACAAAAGCAAACGTGGGATTAAAATGCTTTTGCTGAAACAGTCTTGCTTCTACAAGTCTTGAGCTCTTTTGTCTTGACTTGTGTTTCACAGGACTCATACCTAAGCGCTCTACGTCACTAGTGTAATGCAGTAGCAGGTGAGCTACAGAGCATGTTTACTACGTCAGAAAAGCCACACATATGGAGGCTGTATTGTGAAAGAAACCAACCACATGAAATAAGTTTTATTAAATGATGATCTGCCTCTGTATTCATTTGTGTGAAAAGGCATAAAAGTTGTTGGTGTTTACTGCCACTAGTGTTTATTTCAGTAGAAACGGGTAAACTGTATGGGTATGAAGTTTTACAAACATTTAGGTAGAGGCACATTTTTCCAGTGAGCTACAATATAATGTTGAATTTAGAAACATACGAGGAGCACCACAAAACACACTCATCTCTGCTAAATAACTTTGTGAAAAACAAGGATATTCCACAGCCTAGAGTCAATTTACATTTATATTCTTATAACTGTACTCACATGTTGATGAACTGTTAACAAACCACTGATTCCTGAGACATGGGACAAAACATGTCCAGCAATTGTAACTGCTCTTAGGTTTAAAAATGACATATTTTCAATTGTAAATGGTATGGGGATTACTAATAGAATGCATTTAACACAATTATCCCCTTCAATTTAATTTTATAATTATTATATCAAATCTATGACATTTATTGTCTTTTCACAGTGTTTCCACAGAGAAGGGTTCAATCATTCATATGCTATAAACATTAAAAAGTATGAAACATATCCAGAGTTTTCAAGTTATTAGATTTTTAACAAAAATTAAATGTGTACCAAGGGGGAAGCAAAATGCCCCCATGGGTGGGGTAAAATGCCCCCCAGTCTGACAAAGAAATTTGCTTTAAACATTTACAGCAAAATCAGAGTACAGACAGTGTTTGCTTAAAATGAAAAAGAATTACAAAATTATAATAGCATATTTAAAACATTTTGTTAGTAGATGTTAACTGGCTAGCTAACTAAGCTACCTGATGCTAACTTGAGGTAGCCTAATTTTTAAATATAAAATCCAAATATTACCAACTAGTTAGAATATCCTCCTGAGACCCAGCTATGGAGTTTTTGCCTCTGTAGTGGACATTATATTTTAGTGAATTTCTCTGAGACTTCACATGTCACAGTTTTATTTCTGGATGTCCTGTACAGAGCACATTCAGGGCTTTCCATAGATGCCACATGATCGGATGTTTCACCATCACCACCCCCTCTCCTTGGTCTTTAAAAATGGCTGACATTAATTTAGTGATAAAATTGTACATCCTTATGGAAATATGATCATATTTTGTAATTATAATTTAAATCTGATTAATTTTCAAATTGTTTGTCATAAATCAACATCTCAGGAAAATGTTATGGGGTTTCAAATCAAAATATGACTTCCTGTTATGAAACAGGACATAATTTCATACATGTCCACTGTAGAGGACACCAGGACTAAAAGCATGTTTATTATACATTTTGGGAGACAAAAGAATTGAATAGGAAAACAAATTACATATCAATATTCTTATGAAATATTAGATATTATTATGAAAATCTGGCCAATTACTACTCCCATTATTACACTTCTTTTTTCAACATGCTGTCCCAACAGCACTTTAATAAGCAAATTAGATATAGTGTATAGATAACATTGTGCTTAATGGGAAAACCAGTTTATGGAATTTTTACACACATATTGCATAAAGCAAAATGGTATATCAAATCATTTTGTTATATATTTTATAACATAGTTGAGAACCATCCTTAAACAAAGTTAGTTATAAAAAAATCCTGAAACCTAAAAATTGATTGTAGAAGTTACAGTACATTACATTCAGTTACAGTACAGTACATGTAGAACTTCTAAGTACTGTAACTTCTAAGATTAAAAAAAAAAATTCCCATTGTTTTTGCCTTTTCATGTCTACTCTTGTCATTTTATTTTTAGAAAAACTGAGTCCTGGTGTCCCCTACAGAGGACTTATGAATAAAATATAATTTTTAAAAAATTTTATTTTACCATTTTTTTCTTATGCTCTAAACAATGTAATGACATGAAAAAATACAAAATTCGCAAAGCTTTTTATTTCTGGTTCTCAGGAGGCTATATTTGATGGAAAAACATGGATTTGATGTTCAGAACAGAGTACCTACAGTAATTGCTCATTGCCCACTGGGGGCGTTTTACCCCACTGACTATGTTTGAGGAAAAAATGATGTCATTCTCAAAATATAATTATATTTTTATTAAATAACATGTACTCCCTATCTGCAGGCCCTACTGTTCTCATATCATAGATAACTGTGATGTTCTACAAAACAACAAGCTTTAAATCACGTTTTTTCTTACTGCTGAAAATGAGATGATTTACTGTGAAATCAGTTTTCTCTCCGGTGCATCACCAGTGTAAGCTTCATGGTGAAAACTTCTACATCACAATAAAACAGCGCTAAGGCTTCCTGGAGGCTAATGGTGCTTTTCCACTGCATGGTACAGCATGAGAAATTATAAAAGAAAAAAAAACTGATCTGACGATTCATTCATCATGTACTGTCCTGATGTCACCCTGAGCTGAGGTTAATACACTGAATTTTAAAAGCTGCATGTGACTTAAAATGCTCAAAATAGAGCAGAACAAACTTTTATTGTGTTGTGTGTAAATAATGTTAAGTAATTAAATCTAAATAATGTCCTGAGAGATCAAATACTATGGGTGAGACCAGGGAATCATCAGATCAGTTTTGTTCTTACAACTTTTGCTAAATCAAACGTGTTTCAGAAACACACAGTTACAGCTGCCAAAGAAAAACTTAAGTTCGAAAGTCAAGGGTCAGGAACCCAACTAAAGCAAGCGCTTACCTCCATAACAGTGACTTCAAACTTTATTATTTTCAATAAAACAGCGCTAAGGCTTCCACTGGCTGCCCATGCAGGGCCAGTGCTAAGGGGCCAACGTTTTGCCAATGAGCAAATTCTCAGGGGCCCTGCGCTGGCAGCCCTAAGTGGGCCCGTGCGGGCTTGTTTGCAGGGTAATGTTAATATTTCAATATAAGTGTCACAACCATGATATCAACACCATCTTCCAATTTCTGAGGAAATTATTTGAATCATGCTAAAACACAGAATTTGGTAACAATAAAAAATATAAATAATATGGTGAGAAAAAATAAAACGTTTCATAGGGCCCTAAACATGTCATTTTTGTTAAACTTTTCAAAATGTATGTGAAAATGTATGTTTCATGATTTTAATTAATTAGACATGATTTTTAATTAATACAATTTAATTCAACTATTAAAAAGGAGTAGAGAAAAATTAAAAAGGAAAAAACGGAATTTGGAAAAAAATAAAACGGATTTCACCGGGCCCTAACTATCCTTTAAGACTATTTATCCCTATATATTTCATCATTGAGGTGAAATAATTGCCAAATTTGTCAACACCGTCAGATGTCACCACCGTAATATTTTCTGTATGACGGTAGTGACAGGCCAATGACGGAGTTGACTTTCAACGTGAAGTCATCACATTTTTGTGGTTTTCAAGTCATTTTTGATTATATTAAATATAAAATATTGTTACATTTTTCTAATAATGTATAAATACTAAATATGTGACCTGACAGCGTATATTGCTTTTGTGGATTGATAGTCATCACTTCTAGCAGAGTTAGGGTTGAGGGAACATAAGGCACACAAGGAACACAAGACACTGGATAAAACTTATCTATACATAATACAGTTTGTAATCTGATCATATGTGTTCTGATCATTTTTGGATCATTTGTTGAGATGTTTTAATGTGAATATTAAGACCCTAGTGAATGTTAATGGATAGAGGTAACAGCTAATTGTTTTATTTGTTCATTTAACTATGAACAAGTTTAAAACAACTTTAAAAGTTAACGTGTTACCATAGCAGCAGACATACTGTTCTGTGCGAGAGATAAAAATACAAGAATGGACTGGGAATACTGTGGCTCAGAGCAAGACAAAAGAGGATAGTTTGGTGATCGGGAAAATGGAATTTGTTTCATTTATGGCTGAAGTGGTAAATTGTTCTGCTCAAACAGAAAGCAGAACGGAGAGAATTAAAATCATAATAAGGGCAGCTGAGAGATACTTGAATGTAGCAGGTGTAACGTTGGAAAAAATAAATGACATGCTAAAGACTCAATCTAGTACTCAAACAACATGTGGAAGTACATAATA